CCGAGGCCATCATTGCCCGCCGTGAACCCAAAGAAGAGGCGGAGGATGTAAGCAGCTATCTCTGTACAGAATCGGTACATCCACTCTTCACTCTTCACAGGCGGGGCGGTCACCATTCACCAATCACAGGCGGGGCGGTCACCATTCACCAATCACAGGCGGGGCGGTCACCATTCAGCATTCACAGGCAGTACATTTCACTATTCACACACGGTATATCCTACTATTCACACTCAGGGCATGGGCATGGGGGGCAGCTCCCGGGGACTCACCGGCCTTCTGTCTCTGTACAGAATCAGTATAGCCCACTATTCACATGCAGGGCTGGGGGCACAGGCACGGGGCCCAGGCGGGGTCCTGGGGACTCGCCTGCTCTTCTGGGCTGACAGCTCTCCCACCCCTCCTGGGTAACACCTGACCCCAACGGCATCATCTGCTGCCCCACTCCCGAGACCACATAGAATCAGAACCAGGCCCTTGGGCAGGACCACAGCCCTGGCAGGATGCCGGTCACCTGTCAGCACCAAGTCCTAGTGCATGCCTTTTGTATAGTCACAAGCGGGTCTCCCTGGCTCCGCAGCCTGGCCAGTGCTCCAAGTCAGTCACCTGCTGTCCCCTTTTCAGGACCTACCCCACCCCTGAGGAGCCCAGGAGGCCCTCGGGCAGGCTGTCTGCTGCCTGGGCATTGCCAGCCCTCCCTTTTAGAACCACCACCCCCTCCAGGGGAGAGGCCAGAGGGAGCACTGCCTGTCAGTGGGCCCCTGGCCTCCTTCCTTAAGGAGAGCAGGCCCGGCCCCAGGGCGGATGCCGGCCTCACCTGCACTAGCTCAGTCACCTGGGGGCCGTGGTGACGATAAAGAGAGGTTGTATGTCTCGGGCCATCCCGTGCACCCCGCACTCCCCACGGTCTAGGAGAAACACAAGTGGAAGGCGAGTGATGTCCCCCCCACAGCCTCTCCTGCATGAGCCGAGGGTGCCACCGGTCCTGGGCCTCTGCCCCCTGTCACGGCCTGAGGCTGGATGTGCACCTGCAAGCACAGAGTGCTGAGTGCCAGGGGCCCTGTGGGGACTCGCACTTCCTCACTCCCTGGCAGCTCTGCTGAGCAGCCCTGGGTAGGGGAGCAGACCACAGACCCCACGTGGGTCTGTCAGAACCCAAAGTGTTCAGCCAGCTGGACCCTTCCTAGAGCATCCCATCTACTCATTTCACACTGGAGCAGTCCCACCTGCACCTCACCTGAGGCATTTGGCGCCTCCACGGACATGCAGGGAAAGTCACCTACATCGTGCCTCTCACGCGTGTCCTGGCAGCCCTGGCAGGGTCAGGCTGACTCCGGGTTCCCCTCCCCCCTTGCTGACACCCCTCCACACCGCTTCTTGCCTGAGGATCTGCAGGAAATTGGTACTGAGATCCACCTATACCTGGAGGCCACGACCCTGCCCCGGTGGAGGCACCCCAGGAGGAAGCAGGTGTGACCCGGCCTCCAAGGCTGGCTGATTGAGCCTCTGTGCCTCTCCCCTCCACAGGACAAAATCCCCATGGCCCAGCGCCGCCGCTTCACGCGGGTAGAGATGGCCCGTGTGCTCATGGAGCGGAACCAGTACAAGGAGCGGCTGATGGAGCTGCAGGAGGCCGTGCGGTGGACCGAGATGATCAGGTGGGAGTTGCGGCCACCCCAGGAAGGGCTGTGGGGTCATCCCTGATGGCAGAACTACAGCTCCCTCCTCTGCACCTCCCTGTCTTCTCGGGGGACTGAAGGGTGCTGGGTGCTTCCTGGTGGGAGCCCAGAGAGTGCCAGGCAAGGGAGGCGTGAGGGTGCTAGCAGGCTGCTCCCTATGCCCTCCCCCGCAGAGCATCCCGAGAGCACCCATCCGTCCAGGAGAAGAAGAAGTCCACCATCTGGCAGTTGTAAGCTGGGAGCCCCCAGGGGGTGTGGGCAGCAGCTGCAGGGGAAGGGGCAGGGAAGTTCCCTGGTCCTCTGCCCACCCCTCACCTCCCTGTGCCTCCGGCAGCTTCAGCCGCCTCTTCAGCTCCTCCTCCAGCCCCCCTCCGGCCAAGCGCCCCTACCCCTCGGTGAATATCCACTACAAGTCGCCTACCACGGCCGGCTTCAGCCAGCGCCGCAGCCATGCCATGTGCCCGATCTCGGCGGGCAGCCGGCCCCTGGAATTCTTCCCTGATGAGTGAGTGTCCCATGGTCCCCACTAGTGGCCTGCAGTAGGGTTGGGTAGGCCCTGTCCTGAGGCCCCTCCCCTCCAGGACCTGAAGCAGGACTTTGAGGGCAGCCTCCACCTTGCTGGCCACATGCCAGGGGTCGTGACCTCTCCCTGCACACTGCCTGCCCCTCCCTGCGGCAGGGAGCTGGGCTGCTTTGGCTCCGCAGTGTTTGGTTCAGGATGTCCCTTGGCAGAGGCTGTGCACACCAACAGTCAGGGGGCTGCGCTGGGCTCCACGGTGGCCTCTGCAGCAAGGAGCCATTTCAGACGTATGTGCAGCAAGGAGTCGCTGGCCGCGCCTGTGCCCTGGCGGCACTCCAGGTCCCGGTCTGTGGAGCCCTCAGTGACTGTGGCCGAAGAGCAGCCTCTGGGTCGAGCAGGTGCCAGCTGTGGCCTCCAAGCCCAGGGGCATACCCGGTGCTGGGAAGGCCACCCTCCCTAGCTAGGCACTCGGTGGCCGGGAAGAGGCGAGGATGGGCCTCCCTGCCGTGACCTCCCCCAGGGCAAGCCTGGGGGCACTGTGGGTGCCTGCTGCTCGGCTGCTGCTCACCCTGGACAGAGACATCACCCATCATTCTTCCACTCAGCGACTGCACGTCCTCCGCCCGTCGAGAGCAGAAGCGCGAGCAGTACCGCCAGGTGCGTGAGCACGTGCGTAACGACGACGGCCGACTTCAGGCCTGCGGCTGGAGCCTGCCCGCCAAGTACAAGCAGGTGCGGGCGGGGCGCGTCGGGGACAGGGCGGGGCCCCGCTCTTATACACATCTAGATGTGTATAAGAGACAGCCCTACCTCCTTCCCTTTCCCGCAGAGTGAAGTCCGAGGCCATCATTGCCCGCCGTGAACCCAAAGAAGAGGCGGAGGATGTAAGCAGCTATCTCTG